AATAAGGAAGTTTTACTGGAGTTATCTAGGACCTTAGTGAGTCCACATCTGGAGATCTATGCATACCCCTGGTCCTTTTACACAAGGGAAGATATACTTGTCTTAGATGAAGTACAACAAAAGTTCTCTAGACTGAATCCCGAAATGAGGGGATTGTCCTCTGAGGAAAGATTGAGTTGATGCCTACATTTCCTATAGTTTGGAAGAATAACAAGTGATTCAAGGAATTATATAAAAATTACAGAGTTTTACAGGTAGACATTGAAAGGGTATTTCCCCTGGGTGGAAAGTCCAGAACTAGAGGCTGACCAATTAAGATGACAAGAAATCTCTTCACTGAGAGAGTTGTAAATCTTTGAAATTCTCCTACAGGGAGATGGTGGTTTGAGGGCCTTAAGTGGCCATTAAAGGACCACATAAGGACCTTAATTGCTGGCAATTTGAGAAAATTCCCTTTTTACCTTGTTGCTTGGTGAGCAATTACTGAGGCAGCAACTGGGTGAGTTTGCCCCCAAGGTCAACTTGTTCAATTATTTCCCCTTTTTCCCACTTCCAGGGAGGGGAAGAATAAGAAAACAATTGGTATTGAATTTTAAAATTGTTCTTTATCTATAATATCTTAAATTATTTGTATACCCTGTAATTGTCACTTTTAATTGGAACTCTTTCCCTAACACATACTGGCGATAACATCACTACTGTATCACTGACTCAACATATAAACAGGCATGAAGTGCTCTTCTAGTGTAATGGTAGTCTCAGTACCTCTGTGCTAAGTGGCCTGGGTTCAAATCCCATCTGCTCCAGAGTTGTTGTACTATGTTTGATCAGGTCAGTTAAAAACATCTATGCACAATAAGACACCAAACTACTCTTTTTTTTTAATTTGAATGAGTGTAACACTGATCCAGAACAAGCCAGCTTTATTAGACACTTTGCATTGACAAAAAATTGTGTTGAATTTACAATAGCACAAGTTGCTGCATTACCAAAGCCTGAAGTAATTCCAATTTAATTCAGACAGAACATAAAACTATTTCAAGGAGGTACTTTCATGCTGTTTACCATTTACACTGATGGCTGCATCTAAGATTGCTAAAAATGGTTTTCTTGGTGATAAAAGGACTGACATTGAGTCTGCTTCAGGACGCAGGTAACTATATGAAGTAGAATTCCACCTGCTGCTCTAGAATGGAAGTTCAGAGCAGCAAATGTTAGCTTGTGCTATTTAACTGTTGCCTGTCTTGGAAGTGATGACATTGCATGGCCCTGGGTCTAGCTGTTGACACCAGCTTGGTGGTGGGAATGGCTATCAGATTAGACTTCTGACTTTGGGTGTTTCTCCCGAGGAAGGATTTGTGGGCAAGTCTGTGGCTGAGGATGTTGAAGCTTAGCTTGTGAAATCTAGAGCTGTGTTTCTCTTGCTCTTAGTCCCATTAGAAGACAACACGAATATTAAATGGAAGACCTGCACCTTTGGGACACTCCCGGCCCAGATCCTTTTGCTTCTTGTATTTACCTGTCAGGAAAGCTATTGTGTCTTCCTGCCTAAGCTGCAAAGTTAGAATTGGCATGCATGCATTCAAAATAATGAATCTTACAGCCTTCATCAGATGGCCTCACCACCTGCGCAACCTGGTTAAATTCTGTAACAGTTTGTTCTGCAGTTTCTGAATGAGTACATAACCTTGGAAGATTTTAACTGTTCACCCACAGAATCATAAAATTAGTAAGAAGGAGGACATTTGCTCCATCACTTCTGCACTGGCTCTTCAAGTTAGCATCATTACTAAGTGCCATTCTGTTTCCCTTTCCCTGTAACACTGTACATTGGCATTCACAAGGATATTAGATGATTTAAATAGAAAC